CATTGGAAAAATTCTGATTTTATTTTTTTCACATTAATAAAATTACTTTTCAAATAATTTGTTTATTAAAATGGATCGTAATTTAGCTAAACACATTCGAGAGAAAATGAAACTAGAATTAATCAATTTGCAGAACGAAGAAGCCACCGATTTGCAGAGCAAATTAGCGTTAGCATCTCGTGGTGTACAAAAAGATGATAAAAAAGCATTTGAATGGTATTTGAAATCAGCAGAAAATGGAGATGCTGGAGGACAATGTAATCTTGGTATTTGTTATCAAGATGGTGTTGGCGTACAAAAAGATGAGAAAAAAGCATTTGAATGGTATTCGAAATCAGCAGAAAATGGAGATGCTGGAGGACAATGTAGTCTTGGTTTTTGCTATCAAACTGGTGTTGGCGTACAAAAAGATGAGAAAAAAGCATTTGAATGGTATTCGAAATCAGCAGAAAGTGGAGATGCTCGAGGACAATGTAATCTTGGTGTTTGCTATCAAACTGGTGTTGGCGTACAAAAAGATGAGAAAAAAGCATTTGAATGGTATTCGAAATCAGCAGAAGGTGGAGATGCTAGAGGACAATATAATCTTGGTATTTGCTATCAAACTGGTGTTGGCGTACAAAAAGATGGAAAAAAAGCATTTCAATGGTATTCGAAATCAGCAGAAAGTGAAGTTGTTGGAGGACTTGGTTTTTGTTATGAAAATGGTATAGGAACAGATAAAAATGAGAAAAAAGCAATTGGATGGCAGAAGATAGTAAAAGATGAATTTAAAGATTCTTCAATACGATATTTTTTTCCAGAAGAAAATGAATTTGAAAAAATCACAGACGATGCAAAGTCTAATAGACGTTTGCAAAAAGTCGAAAAAGAGGATAAAGCAAAAAATTTTGAATCACATCTCGAACTTAAGAAAGGTGAAAATTCTTCAATACAATATTTTTCTTTACCAGAAGAAAATGAACCTGGAAAAATAACAGATGATTATATAAAGCCTGATAGACACTTGCAAAGAGTTGAAAAAGAGGATAAAGCAGAAAATTTTAAAATTTTAAAACAGCCATTGCCTCTTATATGGGAAGGAAAATGCAAATCAATCAATGGCATCATCATTGGTAAATATTCAATTGAACAATCAATTGATCCTGTGATGGTTTATAAATATTCACCAAAGCTAATAATTGAATACAAGAAATCGAAAAACATGAAGATTTCGTATGCGTCAAAAATACGGGATTCTTTTATGCTTTCTGAGGGAATAGAAATTGATGAAAGTTCATCTGAAGATTTAAAGAATTTTTTGATGCTATTCGATATGAATCTCAGCAAATATTCAGATAATGCCTTTTTAAATGATCTAGAAACGCATGACGTTTATTTTGAGATTACAAGTGAACAAGTCACAATTGCATACGATATTCAAAATATTAACGTCACTGGTGAATTAAAATTTTCTGTTGAAAAAGCTTTAAAGTCAAATACGCCAATTGAAGATTTAAAACACGTTTTTAACAAATTTGGACATCTATTCACCACAAAACTAATAATTGGTAATAAATTACAAAGAATAGTGCGCTTAAATGGAGAAAATAATGACAAAGAAAATAAAAGGTCAATTTATTTACCAGAATTTAATGAATTAGGTAAATAATAACGATATTTATAATTCTTTACTCGAAAAAATTAACATTTATACTGTATATTTTACAAGATAATGAAACTTTAAATCGCTGGAAGAAAGAAATTCAACCGCATGACTCTTCGTATCTGTTGACTATGGATGGTGGCTCAATTGAAATCAAGTAATTTTTTATTTGTTATAGATTTTCTGATATTCTACTTTGTTTTACAATTTATTTTTTTTTAATTCAGCAAAATTTCGAAATGGCTTGAAAATATCCCATTATTCGAAACAGAATGGCTTATTATCAAGCGTGTCGTTATCCCATTATATAAAATTCTTGCTATTGATCAAAAGCAAAAAATTGAAAAACTTTTCAGTAAACAAGACCATATTTTAATGACCAATACAACTACAATTTTGGACTTTGACACTGGATATCAACGGATAGACTTTAATAGCAAACTAAAAAGCAGCAGTTATCAAATTTTTGGAAAAGTAGTGGATGCCAATGGCCAAACATTTTCAAATATTTATGTGAAATTTAGTCTGGAATCAGAATATGGGTTTTCTGTAAATTGGATTCAAGCTGGCGATTCGTAAGAAAATATTACAAAATTTTTGTCATTGTTTATGCAAAAAAATTCAAAATTAATTTTTTTATTTTATAAGATTACAAACACCACCATATAATCTTGAATGGATGTTAATTGGCTGTCCAAGTGAAATTGGTTACTTTGACTCAACAACTCGTGATAAAGAAATTAAAACTGGATCTACAGAATTGAAAATTGCATCCAGGAAAGAAGCAACAATTCTGAAAGATGAAGATCTAACACAACAATGGTCTTGCCGAATAAATCTTGACAGATCTCTTTCTCCATCTTCTGTTGTTTCACTCAACGTCGAATATCCTACTACACGAAAAACGCCAATTCTCAAAGCAAGTTATCAGATATTACCAGAATCTCATTCAAATATTGAGATAAAAGTTGAGCCAATCAAAGATGAGTATGTTGAATTTTTGAGTGAGGATGAAGAGATTACAGTTGCAGTTCGCTGGTGTGTAGTATTTGAAGGGAGTATGACTAGAGACTGGAGTTTAATATTTAGTAAAACAATCATATTAAATGTATTGCTAATTGGTGTATGGTTTTTGTATTTTTATTATTACTAAATAAAGTGTTAGCAATTTGTATGATATTCTTTGTATTGTAATCTAATTTCGATAATGCTTTTAGACTCAGCCACAGCATTTTTATGGTAAATAAATTTTTAGACGCTATAACCGTATTTCATTGCTAGAGGTTTTTTTGAATAAATCAATATTAATGCTACAGATTCACATATTTGCTTTTATGAAAACGCATTCTTTTCGGTTTTCAACCTCGCAAATCAGACATCGCTAAATGTTTTGATTTTTATTACTACGTAGCTAGAAAAAAAGAAAAGAAATGTATCTTGAATTTTAATTTCTCATTTTCGCTTGTTTTTATTTGCACTAGCGTTGATTCAGTGTATGTCTGCTGCGCTATATTTAGAGCTGAAGAAATATTTCCTATCGCATGAAGTCTATTTATTTTATATATGCACAGAAAGCTACTTACGTATTTTATTTTCATGCTAAGATAGAACGAATGCTGTCTAAATTTATCTGATCGATTAGTCTACCAGTTTTTGAGCTGATAATACATTTAATAAACAGTGCCAACTGAGAATTAATGCTCTAGCTTTATGTGTACTGTACTTTTATCGTAATTATACAGCTAGTTCTAAATAAAACAACTGCTATACTAAATCGTTGTAAAATAATACATTCGATCATATAGAAGCAAGTGGCCTTCCATTAATTTGATCGTGAAAAACTGTTCACTAATCAAATGCTATGTCCAGTGACTCACAGAAGCAACAGAACAAGTGAAAATCTCTGATAAGAAAAATTTCTGAATAATGTACATCATCATCTTTTAATTTTTTAAAGGTTCATTAGTTTTTTCTAGCAATATTCATTAATTAGACCTAAATAACTTTGATCAGACCTGATAATTTTTGCCAATTATCAATCGTCCAATTTCGATACTTTTTGGTTCATTTTGATCAACTTTTTCAAAGTAACAGTTTTTTTATCTTCTTACAAATAAGCTACAGTCATCCATATTTATAAGAACGTGGTCGGAACATAAAATTAAGAGGTTGTTCTTATAAAGAGGTCATTTTTATTATAAATAATTCGGTTCTCAAATTGTGTTCCTATAGATATGTTGTTCGTATATATAGTGTCCTTATATAGAGATATGAATTTATTTCTTCAAAACATGAATTGTAAGTTTTTCACTGAAACACTGGTTTCTTTATCGGTTTAAAGCTTGGATTAGGCTTTGATCACAATAAAGCATTTTTCATATTATAGTAGTCAAGAGCATTCCATTAGTGGTGACCCAAAGGATAAATGAGTGATCAAGTTTTGGTTTATCAATGAGACTCAATTTTTCTGGTATACATGTACTTATATGATCCACATTTGTTTTTCTAGTAAAATATGTAATTTTAGTATCATTATCGTGATATATACTACGTACATGTATATACGTACATAATGAGCATTTGCTAGTTTTTTAAAGTAAAATTATTTAACCAATTTTAATATTACTAAGTTTCATAAATTACCTTTGTTCAGATACAATTTCTAGAAAAAAATCTAAAATTTGTTTCGGTTTTTTCTGTGAGCTATCGTTAAGAGAAACATGGTTCCAGTAGTTTAATTAATTAGATGTAAGTCGGTAGCATATGTCTAGCGCTAGTTTATTTTATTTTTTTATACATGTAATCTGATTTGTAGTTGGTAGTTTTGGTAGAATTCTCAATTAGCACTTTTCACCAAATTAATTAATACCATCGTAAGCACTAATTACGAAGGGTAATGAAAGGCAATTCTGATAAACCACTACGACCACAAACAGCTGAATCATTTTCGAAAAGACTATAAAGCTCATGTGATCCATGCGTCAAATAAAAAGTCAAACAAACAGCAAAGGAGTACAGTTTGTGGGATAACCATCAAAAGAGATCAAGCATTTTCTTCAAAATATTGGAGAGATAGCTTGTGAGAATCACGAACGCATATACCCTAATTAGCAAATGAAGGTAAACCCACTATTTAATATCGTTACTTTTTTTGGTGTTATTACAAAACAGATTCGAATTTAGTACATGTATATCATGTATGACATAAACAAACTTCGATCTTTTTATATCATATATGTTTGATCAATTTGAAAAAGGTGTTTATGTTTGCCACAATTAATTAACACACATACAGTCAACCCTCTCTATTGTCAACCTGACGGGACCAGGCATTTTTGCTAATATATAAGATGGTTAATAACTCAGAGGTTAACGTAAATATCAATATATTACTCCAAGTAAAATATGTTCTGCAATTTTGATAATAAAGAGGTATTGATATTAAAGAGGTTGATAATAGAGAGGGTTGACTGTAGTACGTATGATCAATTATATTTAACCTTTCATACGTAATTGTCGTTTGATGCTCCAAATACGTAATTATAATGAAGATGAAATACTATTAATGCTAGTTTATATCTAAAATACTTGTTGGCTTACAACTCTAGCGTATGTGAATAATGAATTTATTGATAACCAAATGTACGTATATGTGTACTGTACTTTTTGTGGTAATTACAACTACGTATTTCTAAATAAATAAATAAATCCAACGATGAATACTAAATCTTTGTAAACTAATACATTCAATTATATGGATGCAAATATTCGTATTTTCCGTTAACTTGATAGTGAAAGTCGTTCACGAATCAAATATATAGTCAATCTCGATGTAAATAACATTAAAATCTTACTAATAGACCCGGATCTTTCATTATACATGTACATATATCAGAAGTCACTATCGTAAAAAATCGCAAATACGTGCTACGTACATTCTACCATTTTGTTGATCCCAAAAATACATGTAGTTGCAACTTTCATTTCTAAGGGAAGTAACAAAATAGATTTGGAAGAAAGTTGTTTTCAGGCCTTTCGTACAAAGTCATTTATGACAGAGATGCATCATCAAAGAAAAAAAATGAAATATCAATATTCCTAGCAGAAACGTGTTCAGAGAAATATGAAAATTATTTGTGGACTATCTCAAACAAATAAAAATTGAAATAAAAAATATCAAATTTGAAATCAAAAATGAATGCGTATATGCTTATTTTAAGTAATTACATAAAAATATCAAATCGATTCGCATGAATGACAAAAATTCTCTATCAATATCGATATTCGATCTTTAGTGTTGAGTGCAATGATTTTATAAAATTATTAAAGCGCCAAATTCAAAATTGAAGATTTATGTAATACTACAAACCCTAAGAAAAAAAGTAGTCCACTTTACTATCAAATAAAAGAATTGAGAAATAAACAGTTTGTGATGTAAAAACACTTTGATACATGTACTTTGTCACATTATGTAAACTACAACAACTAAGTGAAGAGAAAATTTAAAATTGATAAATATACTTCGAATTGACATGAGGTATTAGCAGAGCATTGATATTGAGTTCGAAGAGTAAAATAGATACGGAGTTGTGTTTAATAGATTTTTTGTTATATATTATATACAGTCAACCCTGTTAAACCGAAGTACATGTACTAATAAATCGAATTTGTTTCATAACAGTTTCAAAAGCCCACTTCGATGAATAGAAGTTGGTTCAGGAACTGTTATAGTAACCTGCCTCGATAATCTAAATTTACTAAATAATTTAATTTTTTAAAATGGCGTGTTCGATATCATAATAACTACAAACATAATAGATGTCTATTGATTAAATTTATTAGTGAGGATATTTGCCAAATTGTTTTTTTCTTATCTGATTTTATAGAGGAGAACCTAGGCTACAAGAATATTTTTAGCTTTTTACAAAAGCATTAATAAAATTTTGAAAAAGTTATAGAGCTTTTTTCAAAAAGCTCAACATATTCTTATAGTTTAGGTTCATAAAAATCAGCTAATGTATTGTACATAGGAAAAAAAGTAATAGGAATTTTTCGAAGAGGATATTTTTAGAATCACATATCTGCATCATAAATATCCTACATAGAAATTACGTGGAAAAATCTTCCCGATGCTTGTGAATTCTGTTGGTGTTCAACTTCACGTAGAAAATGTGTCAGTTAGCATTAGACAAACTGTGTATCCACATGCTGTATAATTGACCAATCAAATCGTTGTAATGCTGTATATACATAACTTTCGCCTATCGGTATGAAATTCTCTTGGATTTTTGCTATACCGACAAGTGTAGTATTCTTGGTGATTTCATTAGATAGTCGCTCTAAACGACCTCCTAACTAATCCTACCTTTAATTCTGTTTAATAAAGTTGGTGTGGATATTGCATGTAAACATACAATGTATCCACGTAGAAAGTCGCATAAAACTTGCATAGTAAATGAACCTGGAAATCTATATGAATCAGACATAGACTTCCACATAGAACCTAGTGTTTCAAACTCTGTGATGATTCCATTATTTGAATCAGATTGGCATAACTATAATAGCAAGCACGTAGTGACCCTCTTGTCATCCATCAACAACACAAGATTTGAAACATTATTAAAAAAATAATTGTTTTAACGTTTCAGAGTATTAAATTCATCCTATGAAAAAAAATCGTCGATCCTACAGAACGGCTAAGAACTGCTCATGAACTTGTCGGAACCAGTTCCCAAAATATATACTGAATCATTGCGTATTTTCGAGTAAGTTCCTGAGATTGCGCCAATTCCAAAGCAGTTCTTACTAATTCTCAAGTTATTTCATAATATTTTGGAGGCAGGTCCCACGATTTTTCATAGGTCAATAAGCTATTGAAGAGTAGCAATTATCAAAATTTAGAATTTGGAATTTGGAAATCGCGTAATCTGAAACAATATCAAACGGGTGGCCTTGCGAAATAAATCTTTTATACCAGATATCATGGTGGCAATTATTAAAGCAAATTATTGAATTATCGAATATTGCGAGAATTTGATTTAATTATTGAAGTGCAAGTGAAATCAACTAAAGATGAATATATTGAATATTTAAAAGAGGTAAGTGGCAAGTATTTAAGTTAAAGCATTTAAAGCGTATTTAGCATCATTGCTAAAATATTAAAAATATGCACAAAATTTTTAAAATGATACACTTATCTAAAAAATCAGAGCCCGGTAATTGAAGTACATTATCAAATGATAAATTA